GTGCTACAAAATGGAGTGTTCAAATAGGCGGCAAAAATAAATAAAGGAAGATCCATTGGTGGATCTTAGGGAATGCGTTTGCATGACCCTTGGGAAATGCCACACACGTCCTTCTTTGGGAAACACTATACTCCGTTTCACCTTATGTTGTACCGCAGACAAGGCTAGAAGCGTGAGCTCATAGCGTTGGGAGCTACTCTTAACGCACGAGAGCTTGTGCCGCCGAGATACGCCCTAGAGCAAGGAGCTCGCGCTTGTAGCATTTCCTGCGGTACATCATAAGGTGAAACAGAGTATAACAGTGACCTCGTAACAAAATAAAAAAAAAAGTCAAATTTCTTTAAAAAAAAAAAGTGGAGGGAAGGGGTTAGCGTTAGCGTTTCCCAGGGACCTGTGTGGCATATTTCCCAAGGGCCATGGTGGTTCCCTAAGTATCTACCAAATGGATCTTCCTTTAATTTTTACTGGGGTAGAAATTCCTGAACGATAAATGAACCACATGCTGCGTTCCTACGGAAGAGTGCATTCTTTGATGGCCAGAACAAATGGTCACAACAGACGACTCCGCCTCGGCGACTCACGTCGATCAGCTGGCCCTGGTCAGCTTAGCGGAGGCGCACCTTTCTTAGACCCGGAATAAAGTATGAACTCGGAGTCGGAAGCACACGTAAGCAATAAAGCATGGGGTCGCCTTATGTTGTGTACATGATCTGCACTTTAGATGCAGCTTTCAGTGTTGGATAACGTACATGGAGGTTGTGCACTTCAAGTAAAGTAGTAAGTGCACCGGGCGCAATGTACGGTACTTGAAGTAAAGTCCGATAAACACAATGCACTTTCAAAGTAAAGTACAAGTACTTTTTAACACAATTTTTCATGATGCCGTGGTAAACCCTTAAAAATTCTCAACAAGTTTCAATTCGGTTTCTAATGTGCTCTATAATAATACATTAGAAACTAGGGCTGGGCATTTGATCGATTAACTTACCGATTTATCGATAAAGGCTTTAATCGCGATTAATTTTTTACAGCAGAGCTGTTAAGGCCTAGTTTCCCCAGTTTCGTGTCCGATACCAAACAAATGTCGACACAAAACTCTGGATAGCTACCGCCACCTATGAGCGACGGCGGCAACCAGACAACCAATCTGGTTGCCGCCGTCGCTCATAGATGGCGGCTTCCTTTCCAGCCTTTCCGTCAAGGTGCGCGATGGTCCGGCGGTCGCCGTCGTGTACGTCCTCTCCCGCGACGCCCAAGAGAGAAATTGAAGCATCCATGATGGACGTCTTCGGCTGGGTCATGCTCGGTGACGTCACGCCAGGAGGGAAAGTGGTTCACTTCGCTTATGCTTGAGCGCTTCGGGCTTGCGTGTGTGAACGAACCTACGGCGCCCATATCGGACGTGTATAGACCTCGTCTTCACAAAGACGTACCTGCCGTCAGCGTACACCCTATGGCGTTGTATCACAGCGATCACAAGGCCATGGTCACTGTGGTTACGAAATAAATAACAACCCGGGATCGTTATATATATATATATATATATATATATATATATATATATATATATATATATATGTCTGATTCTTTAATCGCTCGAATAACCAATTACCCAATTACACATTAATTCTTACATTTAGAAATACTTCATTCCCACCATGGTACAGCTTCGCTGGTCTTCCTTCTTCACCAAAATGCAAAGGATGAGTTTTTTTTTTTTTTTTTAAACCGGTTAATCAGTAAATTTTGACAAACCAAAATGAAGTAAAAATTGAACGGTTTCACCACGCAGACCTCGACAAGTACACCTGTATGAAAAGCAAATTTTAGGTAAAATTGTAACCTAAAGTAAACTGTAGGGACGAGATTTGTAAGTTTAGGCAAATGCAGCAGGCTACACGTGTCCCGGACATTTCAACGCCGTGCGAGTATCCGTTTAGTTCAGCAGAGAATACTGTCTGTGAACAATCAAAGGATGTCGCTCTTGGCGGAGAATATGAAGAAACCTCTTCGCCTCATGCAGTTGAAGTAACAATTTGTGAGTGTGAATACTGTTCTCAACTACACATCGAGGTTGATTCATAATCGAAATTCTATATTACGCCATTCGTCAACAGACTCAGCAAATAAAAAAAAAATATTTTGGCGTTAAAAAAATATGGATAGAAATGAACAAGACCGATTAACCGATTAATTAATCGATTAAAGGGTGTCGATTAATTGGGTTAAAAATTTTAATCGAAGCCAGCCCTGCTAGAAACTCGATTGAAACTCATTGATAATTTTTGTAACGGTAGGCATCGCCCCAGGAGTAATCGGGGGCACATTAGTTGTTTTCGAAAATGGCGGCGAATATTGGATAAAGTGAAGTGGCCACAGAGAGGTTGTTGTTTTACTCTCGCTGACAAACTATTTAACAAAATCAACTTATAAGGCCCTTAGCTGTCATTACTTTACTCAGAGAGATGACCAGATGACGTCTCGAAAGATGGCAACGCGTTTTCTTATGACAATACCGCATTTTTTTCCCCTTCAAATTTGGGGAATGCATTTTGAAGTCGGGAGGTATACTTCCCTTAGAAAGTACCAGAAAAAAGAAATATTTGAAGTAAAGTACAAGTACATGCTCAGATAATGTTCTTCAAGTAAAGTACAAGTTCTCCGAGCCTACTTGAAGTAATACATTAAGTAAAAGTATTTCCTAACATTGGCAACTTTACGTAGGACAGCCAGCAAGCTGTTCATGAATTTTACCTATAGCTCTCTCTCTCCGGTGGAAACATTGCTAATGAATTAATAAGCAAATTTCAGCGTATTCAGGGTCAATGTCACCAAACATATTATCTAAGCAACATAAGCTGGAATTACAAATCGACCGTTCAAGCAGCTCCAAAAGCGCAAGTCACTGGGCCTTTTCCGTTTATGCAGAAGCTTGACGAACACCATGATGGTGCGCTTTTGACGCTGTCTGATTGGTCCCATCAGCGCGTAGCGTCGGCTGCGTCTGGACTTGATGGGACACTGACAGGGTATTTATGCTCGCCAAGGTTTTTATTTGTACATTACATGTGAAAGCCCAACTACCCAGAAAACAATTGGCGGCTCGAAATTCGTTTAATTTCCGTTAGAAAACCGCCGATCGAGAACTGGACAGGAGTCGCGCTCACTCTCTTCTCTGTGGTCACGTGCCGTTTCCTATGGTTTAGACACAACCACAATATATATATAATCAAAGTCATAGGTCATCGAAGACACACACATAATATTAAAATTAGAAAAAAAAAATGATACCCATGCTTTTGTGGCTTGGGGGGAAAAAAGTATCACAGCCACGTGACTTCCGCCACCTTTCTCCACAGGGTGTCTAAATAGTGGCCAAACTGTGCTACGATTTTGTGCAGCGTTGCCATTTTCGAACGTTGCCCCCAAGCAATGTGTTTCTTCGTTTAGTTTGCAAAAAGCGAACTTGAGGAAAAAGTAAAAAAAAAAAGAAAAAGGCTTAACTTCTGTGGAAACTCAGCAGCCACCGGTCTTCAAACAATAGGGCGCCGTTTGGCACGGAAGGACAAGAGATGGCGCAAGCGGTCGCTACGCCAACTGTGGCCATGGGTGGAGGCCTGAATTCACCACTACATGCAAGAAACCAAACTTCAAATGAAACAATCAATTTGACGCCGAGAGCCGGCGTCAAATAGCAGACGATATTTAAGACTCAAAAGCGGCGCGAGCTTTTTCAATGCCATTTGCCGATGCACGATTTTATCATCCTTACTAATAAAACACATTGAATGGACACATAATCGATAAAAAAGAAAAGAAATGTCAACCTTTCCACTCTGGTGAAGAAGGAAGACCAGCGAAGCTGTACCATGGCGGATTGAAGTATTTATAAATGTAAGGATTAAGGTGTGATTGGGTAATTGGTTATTTGAGCGATTAAAGAATCAGACATTATTAATGATCCGGAGTTGTTGTTTTTCTTTTTTTCGTAACCACAGTGACCATGGCCCTGTGATCGCTGCGGTACAGCGCCATAGGATGTACGCTGATGGCAGGCACGTTCTTCGTGAAGATGAGGTCTATACACGTCAGATGTGGGTGCCGTAGGTTCATTCCGTCGGAAGATGAATCGACATGCATGATGAATCACGCCAAAACAATGCATTGCGCTGAGATAGACTGCTTTGGTCTAAAAAAACTTTGGGGCTGTAGATCGATTGCATTGTACAGAAGATCGCTCTTCGATTAAATATCGTGACTACTTGGTTGCTTCAGGTTGATAGTGACGCAGGTAATCGAAGACTTGCGTATGATGCTAGACATGCAATAAATACACCAACTAACCAATCAATAAAACCGGAAACTAGCTCCAGAAATGTGATGGCGTGGCTCTCGTTTTCGTCACATGCAGGGATTCCTAAATACGAGACATTACGCTTAGCGGAGGCATTCTCGTGGATCCGCGAGCTGCATAGTCCTTCTGACAGTGCGCTTTCACACAGGACGGGCATGTTCCACAGAGAAGCACGCTTGCACGAAGCGGGATAATGGAAAGATACGTGGAAACAGTGTTGTACACGTTCCTCATAAAAAGGAACGAAAGCTCGTTTCTCGTTCCTTCTGATTTTTGGAACGCGTTCCCGTTACAAGTTACATCTGTGAAAAAGGAACTCGTTCCCGTTACAGTTTAAAAATGGAACGTATCGTTACATATGCGTTACATTTGTATTTTGCTAATTACTATATTTAGTTTCATCAAGCAGAGTTTTTTTTTTTATCTATCCCATTAGTAGTCAACATACGAGTTTGTATGTCGTTATGGAAGGGCAACAAGAGAAGAAAACAAGCGGAAGCAGGGTTTCATTTGTTGATATATTCGAGCTAAAAATTTCAGCTTTTAACCAGATTCATGTTTGTAGTGGACAATTCAGACGAGCCGAATGTACTTTTACCCAACATTGTACGAGCATTTTACAGAAACCTCACACATTACAATTGAGCGAAGTCCTATGTTTGAACTTAACAACAGTTTCTTCTCAATGCTGCTGTCCTCAAGACGAGCAAGTCGAGGAGAGGGTAGGGCTTTTGGAAGGTCAGTCTTAAAAACTAAAAATACTTCTTTGTAAGGTTCGCTTTGTTGATCATTTTGAAGGCGGGGGGGGGGGGGGGGGGTGCAAAAAAAAAATAATGTTTTTTTTTTTTGTTTTTGTGTGTGTGTATCTTTTAAGTTACAATGTTCGGGATACAAGGGTGCGTTCGATGTCTGGCAGTCTGCGATCTTATTGTAACTGTAGGTCTCGTTATGGAAGTTCACAAGTGGCTGTAGTCGGCCTTGGATTTCTGGGAGGATTCGTGGAACTAAAGAAAGTAGCTGAGCTTGAAATAACCCTCTTTCTTTGTCTTTTCCTACGACTAAAAGCCTTGCTTTTTGTAACGCAGTTTCGGGCACTCAAAAACGGATAAATGTCCACCAGCTCTCCTGCACCCGAAACTGTTAGCAAGCGAGGACCACACAAAATAATCCTCAAGATTAGTAGCCAAAAAAGTAACGAGATCCTGCACTTCGTAAAGATATTGTTTTTGTACTTTCAAAATTTCCCTGTTCGATGCAAAATAAGAATTACCCCACTGGACGAAAAAAAGGAACGCCATTACTCTTTCCGTTCCAGTAAAAATGTAACGCGTTCCCGTTCCAGTTCCAGCGATGCAAAATGGAACGGCGGCGTTCCTTCGTTCCTCCTAAAAGGAACGCGTTCCAGGAACGCCGTTCCTTACAACACTGCGTGGAAAGCACCCCCACCCTGTACGCTCGTTCATATATTTTTCGTGTAATGAGAACACCGGCATTGATAAACTACTTTCTAAAAAAATAATAAGGTGTCTGGCCAGTTTTTAGAGAAGCAAAATGTAAAGAATTCAAGACAACAAACGCTTGTGGGTTGGCAGCTCTGCTGCTTTCCTGCAGTGCGCTCTCGTGCCTGTAGAGAAACACCCTTTCCAGAGGCCAAAATCGGTGTCTGTAGCTCTTGTAGAAAAGTCGATTTCTCAATTTGAAGCTTGCGTTTACGTTAGCGACAGCTGTAATGCGAGCAGCGTCAATGAGGCGGTACACCTAAGTCAGTGCATTAATTCCTTAGCTCTTGGCGTTCGTACCTCGAACATTCTACAACGACTAACTTTTCCAGAAATTTCTTGTTTTCAATAGAAGACAGGACTTTAAAATTGTCAAATAGCGTTTGTGTGGGAAATGTATCTTTGCCAAATATTAATTTTAATTGCAACACTATCTAAACTATGACTAATATTTCCAGATAATATATTTTCTTGGTTTCAACAGAAGACAGCGCTTACTTTAAAATCGTCAACAGTGTTTGTGCGGGAAACGTCTTTTTCAAATATTATTTATAAATATTTGTACAGTTAGGTTGGTGCAGCCTTTCAAGATTATTCACTAGTTTTCAGAACGTGCCTAACTGCTGATACTAAAGATAAACTCGTCTTGGTACAGCAACAGATGCAATATCTTCAGTTTAATGTTCAATTACGTCCATTTTATATCACATCACTTTTTTGTTTATAAACGTGGGATTAGAACTTTCCGACACTAAACATCCGTCAGAACCATGCAGCCACATAAATTATCAATGTCCTAATAAAAAAAAAAAAAAAAAAAAAACACACTTTTGGGCAGCTTCAGCAAGTCTTCCTGAAAAACGTTTCCAAAATCTGCAGTCAGACCGTACTACTGAATTACTCATTGTAATAAAATTTACCCTCCCGGACAAGAACTGCAACAGTTGATCTGGGCTGCATTTCAGACAAGCGCCATTACCAATCGGTGTGTCAGAGTTCGGAGACTGGGGCCTTAACTGTGCTCCATCCCTAGTCTGGACCAGAGTTACTTAAAAACAGGAAGGTACACCAAAGACATGTGTCGAGCCGCACATATAGAAGTTTAAGTTTCATTCAAGTTACATATATACAAGGACATCGAGATAAATCCGGACTTTTTCCCGATTTCGTCTCTCAACAATACGGTGAAGCTATAACCGACCGTATTCCGCTTCTGTGGCCACGTGATTCGGCACCAGACCATCGCAGGATAAACAATTAGCGACTAGGTCAAAAATGAGCAGGGAGTACCACCGGAGGGCAGCAATACTTGAATCGCTTCGCGCCGGAAAGTCCCCTAAGCAAATCATTGCATGGTATGGCTACAAGAAGATACCAGTTTACAGCTTTGCCAAGACGTTCAGAGAATCTGTCAGCCAGGAAGACGTTACGCCAGACCGAGCAAAGCATAGAAAACGGTCGATATTCATTTTATCTTTGTTTTTGTGTGTTTTTCTGAATATGCTGCATTTTCCGGATTTATTTTATTTATTCTTTACATACTTTTTAATGTTTCTACAGCTTCTCAATTCCCTCTCAAAAGTAGCTTCTTTCAAAATCCCCAAATTAATGTTGACAGCCTCGATCACTCTTCATTCAACTGAAATTTCTTTCCAGCCCAGAACATTTTGAGTTTCGAGATCAGGTGGAAGTCTGAAGGAGCCAAATGGTGTTACGGAAGGGTTTCAAACTTTGTTTCTGTCAAGTTGTGCCGAGTGGTTGCACTTGAATAATCAGGCACATCGTTGAGGCGATACAGTTTCCTTGATCATTCTTGGGCTTCTTTCCTGAATCGCTCCTTTCAGCTTAATCAAAAGTAATATATAGTGTTGGTAAATAACAGTTTTTCTTTTTTCAAGATAATCCATTAGCAAGATTTCTTGGGGCATAGCAGAAAGAACAACTCATGTGGTTACCTTACCATCCGAATGATTTGTGTTTCCGTTCTTCAAAGTCAATTCACTGCGTCAAATTGATTGTTTCATCTGAAGTTTGGTTTCTGGCATGTAGTGGTGAATTCAGGCCTCACCCATGGTCACAAATCTTCTCTTGAAAATCATTGGCGTAAAATTCATTGGCTGAAACTCAATACTTTCTAACTATTGCCTGAGCTTTGGTCTGAAATGTGCTTTTGCTCCACATTGAGCAAAAGTGGCTCTAAGCTTTTTTAAACCCATTTTATTATGTAATATATGAACCACTCATTATGCGAGATTCTTACGGCTCCTTTGATTTCAGACTTATTTGACAAGCTGCAAAAACCATGTCATAAATTTTGCCTAGAATTTCTGGTGTGGTAGCTGTTTTTGGATGTCCTCAATGTTGTTCATTACTTGTGTGCATGCAGATTTGCTTAAATTCTGAGAACAAGAATCTCACGGTAAAAATTTAAGGTGACGAGTCCCCTGGAACAAAATCCAAGCTGAATTTAATTTCCGTTGCAGCTTTTCCCACTACATTTAAAAGTTTATGACCGCTCAAATTTTGCTTTTATTTATAGTTGAAAATGCACAAGGGTATTTAACTTGAAAGCTTATTAAAACCCGATTATTAGACAGATCAGTAAATCAATTCATATAAAAAAGTTGTCAACACAATGACACAAAGATATCCGTAGAAAAAAGCAAACCCTAGCGGCATTTCCAGAAACTTTTCAATCTAGCTTCAAGTTGTCTGCACTACTAAAGAAGTCCTTTCACCCGTCTTCGAACTAGCCTCTTATGGCACTGAAAACTGTAATGGGGTTCACTAAATTTTGCATTCTAAAACTAAGTTCTTGTTCTTAAAAGATGAAATATGAGGAGAAAACACCGATGAAGGAAAACATGCATTTATTAGTTTTCACATTATACCTAACAGTCGTAGCCCACTCTAAAGAGAGCAATGCCATGTTTTAAAAATAGAAACGGCATTTAAAAGACAACAGTCAAGTCTTTCTGTTGCTTCTTGCAGTCGAAGGATCAGCATTTTCAATAGCACACCAGTTTCTGTTCGGAGGCAGTCAAGAGTCTATGGTGGCATGCAACGCCAGCGCTTACGCTAGAAAAGACACCATCGTGCTGGTTGCATCACACACCTTCTGGGGTGACCCAATTTAGAGCAGAGTCATTAGCATCCGTTTTTTTTTTATCCCAAACATACAACTGGTTTATATAGTGTTACTTTTTCCATGAACACTCACTGGATAGGTTTTAGTTACGAAGGACATCTAATCATTCCATTTCTTGTGCAATTTCTCTATCTGTACTAACATTTGTTCCAGAATACAAAAGGTAAAGAGCTAGGTGGCAGATGCCGTAAGGATCATAAAAATGTTGCCTTTATTGCTACATTTACATCTCTCGTGCAATTAGCAATGATGCAAACTGAGTCGATATGCTTGCTGCCATATACGCGGAGGGCCGTGATAGGTGTGAAAAAAAAAAAACAACCTTGAAACCAACTTTGGCACTATGCAAACAATGACCCAAAGCAGTAGCTAGAGAGACAAATTAAAGCTCTACCAGGAATCCCAGCAAATAAAGAATGGAGTGTGAGTCACTGCTTTAGGATATTGTCGATATGGTGCAAAAGTTAGTTATGTATTCCTTGACATCTACTCATAATATCTTGGCATAAATAAGCACATCTTTGCCTCAGCTTGGGCTGAACAAAAACAAGTCACCCTATATTCTTCGATCACAAAAACTCGCGACACTAGACGTGGCTCACAACTCCTCGGCTGAGAATAACAAGATAAAAAAGATATGTAACAAAGATGAGTGGGCATCCTAAGCTGCTGGCCAACAAATCTTGCACAGGCACAAATTGCAAACTGGGGTTTGGATTCCAGGCTCCGGAGGAGTGACACCATTGCTCTGCGGGAGCGCACATTCAGTTTGTGGCCCGTCACCCTCCCTAGGAAGACTCCTCGCTGGGACACAGGCTGACCGGTCCCGGGGAGCCTCGCCAAAGGGGATCAACCAAGCGCAGACGCAACTTTGGGCACGTCTCCCGGCGACGACGAAGTACGGAGCGACGTTTGACCCGCTCCAGATTGCTGGCTCTCATGTACGGCAGTCACAGTTCAGAGCTAGACAGGTGAGACTTCTACGCTTGCTTGCATGCAGGCCACTGGGAGGAGTCGTCGGGCCACGTTCCACGGCATCCCATTGTGCGCCCCAAACGGTCGGTGATCGGGAAGCCCGGCACTGCTATAGCTGGAATATCTCTTCGTGGTCCCGCTCGTGCCTCTGAAGCGAGTGCTTCACTTTCCGGCTCATGACTACAGGGTGGGGCGCCAGGCTGGGGTCGCTCGACAGGTCGTTGGAGGACGGTCCTCCAGGTCGCAGCCGCTCTGTCCGGGGAGTTTGCCACGCATCCTCCCCTGGGTGCCTGCAAGCCGAGAACGTCCGTGAGTGTGCGGAGGCTGGAGGGGAGGAAGGGGGACGCAAGAGAGTGCCGTCTCCACTTGGGAACAAAAGAAAGGCATCTTCGCCTCCCACTCATGGTCTCATGTGCGGCAGCACTGAGGCACTGGCAAATTAAGCATTTCAATGCGCAATTAGAGGCGCGGTGCACACTTTTTCCTAGTTTGTGCAAATACCGCTTAGACTGAATCCCTGACATCTATAACTAGAATTCTGTGTTTGCAATATTTTTTTGTGTTTTTTTTCGATTTTGAGGGGTTTTTTTTTTCCTGTGTTTTTTGTGTAAATTGGATGTTATAACCAATTTACACAAAAAACACAAAATATGTGAGAAAATATCTCCCACCCCTGGTTGTCATAACCAATTTACACAAAAACACATTGAATTTGTTGAAAAAAATACCCCCACAAAAAAAAAACCCAAACACCAAAGAAAAGACCACTGAAAACACGAAACCCTATTTATAACCTAGGAAACACACGTTAGTTGTTCTCCCCATGCAATAGTAGTTGCAAAAAGAGTTGAAAAATAAGCGGTGTTTGCCCCCTCAACTTGCAGCCAGAACAAGCAGTCGCATGATCTCGATCCAATCATAGTATGCCACTAATTTTTATCACAGGTACACGGTATGGTTGGCCAAGCACAGGACATGCACCAAGTCCAAGACATTGTCAGGGTTTGGCCATTGTCATCATTGCAGAGACTGGACACACGTGCTCGTGCATTGTTCAAGTCCAATCTATGAGCTGCATTCAAATATGGTCACTGGAGGATACTGCGACCCTCCAGCTACGTCATCAAGTTTTGCGGTAAGATTGAAAAAAAACGCTTGCTTTTATCCTTCAAATACCACCACAACAAAGATGTGGTGGTATTTGAAAGTATTTCAACAAACTTGCGAGTATACTCAGGTCCCACCAGTGCCAGTAAGCTTGAGTAAAGTGAAAAACATTCCAACTTAAATGTTTTGCACATACCCACTGAAAAAGTCAAGAATTAAAACGAAAGAAACACACAAGAGGACGAAACAGACGACACAGCTTTCGACTTGCAACTACAGATTTACTGGGGCGGCTTGCCGCTCAGAGCTCGACTTGGGGAGGCGATGGGGAAAGGGGGGAGGGGGATGAGGGGAGGTGTAAGAAACACAGGGAGACTGTTGCGGGGGCGAACACAGCGGGCGGTCGGGAGTCTGGTCCACGGCGTGGTCTGGTCCGTGTCGCCTCTCTCGTAGATGACACCTCGCGTCGCTTCGTGCCGTCGGGGGCGCGGCGGAGAGCGGGCGGAGGGAGGGGGGGGGGGGGGTCATCGGAATTCCCCGGGGAAGGCGCAAGACGGACCGGAGCACCAGAGGGTCAGGCGAAAACAGAAGGCGAGAAGAAGTAAGAACAGAGGGTGGCTTTCCGGGGTTGTTTTTGTCTGCCACTGTTTTCCCAAACATTTAAGTTCTAGTGTCGCGTGTGCTGGGGGGCTCCCCTCCCTCGCAGGAAGCTAATCTCTCTCTCCGAGAGGGAAAGGGAAGGGCTGGAAAGGTTTGTTGTCGCTGACTTGATACTTACGGATTCTATTATTTCTCTTCCGAATCGAGATCGGTGTCCACCTATGATTTTTGTTTGGGTGAAATGGGGCGTGCAAGAGGAACATTTTTTTGCGTGGACAACAACCGGATGCACAAAATCTTCGGGCGGCCTCGTGATCTCCCTCGCGTGTTCACGGAGACGGTCGTTGATACATCGGCCCGTTTGACCGATGTACTCCGCTCCGCACGAAAGAGGGATCGTGTACACTTTCTCTCGCGCGCAGGGGCGGAAGCACTGGGCGTGTTTTTTAGTGCAGGAGGGCGGAGGTTCGGGATTGTTGACGCGCTTGCACATCCCACCCAATTGGAATTTGCAGGTGAAAAGGACCCTGGTGTCGAATTTGCGTGCAAGCGCACTCAAACGATGGGATGTGTTGTGCACGTAGGGAATGCAAGCAGGCCGGGAGGAGAAGGATCTGGGTGGGGAATTGCGGGAGCGGCTCCCGGACTGCACGATCAACTTTTTGATGTTGTTTGCAATCAGATCCGCGGGGTATCCTGCCCCCTGAAGCCTAGCCGTTTGGCGCGAGAGACTCTCCTTGATAAGGTGGGGACAGGACTTTTTACAGGAGGAGGAGAGAAGAGATTTGACGATGCCGGATTTTACTGTCTTCGAATGATGGCTAGCGAAAGGAAGGACAGGTTTTTGAGAGCGCTGTTGGAAGGACCAGCATAGGCCGTGGGAGGAAGGGGTGAGGCGGAGATCCAGAAATTGGAGCCCCTCCTGGCTAGCATCCTCTTTTGTGAAGGAAAGACCCCCAGCGTTGGCAGCGAAGGCATGCAGGACAGAGACGTCCGAGGTGGATGATGGGTGAACGACGAGGTAATCATCCACGAACCTGAATATCCTGCATCCAGAACCGGAGCGAGCAAGATCCTCCTGCACCGCACGATCCACGAAGAAGAGAAAGATCTCACTTAAGATCGGTGCGAGGCAGGAGCCAATGCACACTCCAGACCTCTGGATGAAGATCTCCCCCTCGTACTCGACGAGGGAGGATCTCAGGTAGAGCCGGAGGAGGTCGAGAAAGCCTCCGGTGGGTATTCCGGACGCGTTCTGAAAGCTCGTCACCCCATGCATCTCAATCGCCTCGGACACAGAGTTTAGAAGAATTTTGAGGTCGAGGTTGTAGTACATGTCCTCAATGTCCAGAGAGAACAGGTTGAGGTCATGATCGGCATGCTTCGTTGTAAGGTAATCAATTACCTCAAGAGAGTCTCTCACGCGGTAGGGGTGAGGAAGATCAATAGAGGAGAGATGCCTTTGAAGGTAGAGGGCGAGCGGCTTCTGCCAGCATCCCCTCTCGGAGACGATGCTGCGAAGGGGAATGTCTGGCTTGTGCGTCTTCGCCGAGAAGAAGATAGTCAGATACTGTTTGGAGGGAGAAGAGATCAAATTTTTTAGGGAGGGGAGGTTTAAAGAGGAGCAGAGAGACTTTGCCTCAGAGCGGAGGGCCCCCGACGGACGCTTCTTGAGGGGGACAAAGTTCTTTTTCAGGGCCAAGTCCGCTTTCTTGGAGAAGTCGCCCCGATCAATTACCACGAATCGACCCTCCTTGTCTGCCTCGAGCAGCACAAGGTCTGACTGGCGGAGCTCGCTTACCACGCGTGACACCCCCGAGCCAGCCGGTGTCGTCACGGCACCGTGGTGGCAGATGACTCCCGTCGCCGCCGCAACAAAGTCCTGTCGGTCGGGCTCCGTGATCCTTGCCGCAATCTCGTACACAGACGCCAGTTGGTCGACCCTCGACGACGGGGTGGGGGGCGCAAATTTGGGTCCTTTTGACAAGAGGGTGGTGGCCTCGGTCGAGAGGTTGGAGTCCGATAGGTTGATCGGAGGCTCCAGGGCCACAGCCCGTCGGGATGAGGCGCTCATCAGGACGCCGTGGAGCACGCGTCGCCACGACGACTCGAGGAGGCGCTCCGAAGAATCCCGCAGGAAGACGAATGCCGGGTTATTGGGGTAATTTGCGCCGAAGCAGCCGGTCATGAGAGGACGGAGCTCGGTGTTCATCACCTGGATTTCTTTGGAGATTTCTTTTCGTGTGATCTGCATGACCCTGTAACTTGACGACCAGCTGGAGGGCTCAAATCCCAGCAGGCGATGAACGGAAGGATGATTAATGTTCTTTCGTACGCAGACACCCAGAGCCCGAAGATGAAGGCGAAGGAAGCTCATCTTTGAGATGAAGACGGCAGCACGGAAAAAGGTTGAAGGGTCAAACTCCGAGTGACTCAGTCGCTTGGCAGCAGGACAAAACATGACATGAAGCTCGCAGTGGTGATAATTATAGACTTGAGCGTGTTGGTAATGTACATTGAATTAAAACGAAAGAAACACACAAGAGGACGAAACAGACGACACAGCTTTCGACTTGCAACTACAGATTTACTGGGGCGGCTCGCCGCTCAGAGCTCGACTTGGGGAGGCGATGGGGAAAGGGGGGAGGGGGATGAGGGGAGGTGTAAGAAACACAGGGAGACCGTTGCGGGGGCGAACACAGCGGGCGGTCGGGAGTCTGGTCCACGGCGTGGTCTGGTCCGTGTCGCCTCTCTCGTAGATGACACCTCGCGTCGCTTCGTGCCGTCGGGGGCGCGGCGGAGAGCGGGCGGAGGGGGGGGGGGGGGGGGGGTGGGGGTCATCGGAATTCCCCGGGGAAGGCGCAAGACGGACCGGAGCACCAGAGGGTCAGGCGAAAACAGAAGGCGAGAAGAAGTAAGAACAGAGGGTGGCTTTCCGGGGTTGTTTTTGTCTGCCACTGTTTTCCCAAACATTTAAGTTCTAGTGTCGCGTGTGCTGGGGGGCTCCCCTCCCTCGCAGGAAGCTAATCTCTCTCTCCGAGAGGGAAAGGGAAGGGCTGGAAAGGTTTGTTGTCGCTGACTTGATACTTACGGATTCTATTATTTCTCTTCCGAATCGAGATCGGTGTCCACCTATGATTTTTGTTTGGGTGAAATGGGGCGTGCAAGAGGAACATTTTTTTGCGTGGACAACAACCGGATGCACAAAATCTTCGGGCGGCCTCGTGATCTCCCTCGCGTGTTCACGGAGACGGTCGTTGATACATCGGCCCGTTTGACCGATGTACTCCGCTCCGCACGAAAGAGGGATCGTGTACACTTTCTCTCGCGCGCAGGGGCGGAAGCACTGGGCGTGTTTTTTAGTGCAGGAGGGCGGAGGTTCGGGATTGTTGACGCGCTTGCACATCCCACCCAATTGGAATTTGCAGGTGAAAAGGACCCTGGTGTCGAATTTGCGTGCAAGCGCACTCAAACGATGGGATGTGTTGTGCACGTAGGGAATGCAAGCAGGCCGGGAGGAGAAGGATCTGGGTGGGGAATTGCGGGAGCGGCTCCCGGACTGCACGATCAACTTTTTGATGTT